ACTTATTTAATAATTACTGTTATTATCACATATCCCAGAGATCTTTCTGGGATCTTTAAGTATGTAAATTAGTTTATACAGGGTGACTGGAACTGAACCCGCCATAGCTAATACGCGTATAGAGGAGGTCATTTGCTAATTATTGAACCTTACTTTCTATGACTAAAGTTTCATAGTTTAGGAGATATGACAATTTTTATACTTGTTTCAGATTTTCCCGAAATTTGACCTAAAAACTGCTTAATTTTTTTTTCTCGCATGATTTTAACCGATTTTTTTATTTGATACTAATATCGAATAAACCTTTAGTCAAATAAAATAAATTTCAGATCTAGATAATGATTCAATAACTAGTTACGAGCCGCCAAAGTTCAACAAAAGTACAAACCACGATAAAAAATTCAAATTCGATTTCGATTTAAGAAAAAACTAATGGTGATAATGGATTGCCAATGATCTTAAAAATATCTCTACCTTCTCTTCTTTCCAATGACATATCACACGTAGTAATTAGATATTGAAATTTATTAAAAATTCAAAGTTTATGGAAGAAAATGGAGTAATTTACGAAAATTATCCATACAAAGTTTCTTCAAACAACTCATATTTTCTGCTATACTCCTTTTCATAACTATTTTCGTGTTTTTTTTTATCCAATTACAACGTGTGATATATCATTGGAAAGAAGAGAAGCTGGCGATATTTTTAAGATTATTGGAAATCCATTATCACCCTTAATTTTTGTTTCAATCGAATTTGAAGTAGAATTTTTTATCGTGGTTTGTACTTTTGTTGAACTTTGGCGGCTCGTAACTAGCTATTCAATCATTATCTGGATCAGAAATTTATTTTATTTGAATAAAGACATATTCGATATTAATATCAAATAAAAAAAACTATTGAAATCACGCGAGAAAAAAAATTGAAGCAGTTTTTAGGTCAAATTTCGGAAAAATCTGAAAAAAGTATAAAAATTGACATATCTCCTAAACTATAAAACTTTAGCCATAGAAAGTAAGGTTCAATAATTAGCAAATGACCTCCTCTATACGCTTATTAGCTATGGCGGGTTCAGTTCCAGTCACCCTGTATAAAATCAAATCAGGAGGAACTAACATAACCAACTTAATGACAAAAAGCGCCAACACTTTTTCACAGATCTACTCTTCTAATTTGGAAGTATCCAAGTGCATTCCCCACGACAGAAGTATCTTTGATCAAATATTAAAAAGCGGCGAGAGTGGTCGAAATAACATCAGACTACATTTTCATTGCAAAATAGCATTTATTACAACCGGCTAAGAACCCACAGCGTACCTTGACGTGCTGTAGTTTGTACATTCAAAGTGAATCGCAAATATTCCCGCGACGCTGATTTGGGGAATCCCGGAATCGCGCATAAAGGCCACTTGGAAGTTGGCAGGACTTGGTTCTAGAAAATGCAATGTGACGTATAGGAAAGTACACCGCGGTACTGCTTTCCACCACTAGGATAGTTAATTTGTATTCCTTGATAATGCGAGATTAATCCCGAAGCAAGATCCTTGGTTGTTCAAAAGTCATAAAAATCTGTTATTTTCTGCAATAAGAATTTTGAAAAGGTCTTTTACATGTCTCAGTATTACCTCTCTAACACTGCTTCGGGCTAGTGTTGAGAAGAAGCACCGCAAGAAACTCAGCCACCATATCAAATGCTAACTCTTTCAAACAGTTCTTCAGTATGTAACTTTAGTTAACAATATCATCAAATGAACAATCGTAGTTGTTAACAACATTAGTTGCTTTACAAAACAAGTGTATATCAAAGTTCATCAGATAACAAGGAGTATCTTGAAGCTCGTTAGTAATGCTGCTCAATAGGCAGGTGAAACTCCGTCGACGAAGTAACAACCGCACCCGGAAGTTTTGTGGAGTGTTCCTCGTCGCTATAAACATATTATAGTTTGGAAGATCTTACACTTTGTAAAGACCAGCTTATAAAGAGCAACACAACATAAGTAGTTTAATAAAGCGAGCGGTACCCGATTTTGATTTGCCACAAAGAGTCTTTTCAAAGATAAAATAAATAATATTTTGGGAATGTATTTTTGAAACGGAGAAAAAGTTTCGAAGAATGCCCTCTCACTCTTATGGATCTTTACAAAATTAACCTAAGTACAGCCATTTCACTTTAGTTAAGTGCGTTGATAGATCAGTATTATCTATACTTATGTAACACCATTTAAGGCAGCACAAATCAAAGTAACCCAAAACAAAATCTGAAAACTTTTGCAATGTCAAAATATAGTTAAAACCTTTATTTTGGCTCCGAATGTAGGTATCTGTCAATCACTCGATTGAGCAATCTTTTCCCGAAATCGTTAATGTCAGTCCCTCGCTTAGCAAGCACTTGACTCATCAGTCCCATCACGCCGCGAAGCGATTCTTTACTGTGGAGAAATCACAGAATTCTGCGCCTACCCTCTTATTTTTGACTCGCTCGAGAGTATATTGAGTGTGTGGGAGATAGAAAATAAAGACATCGTCTTTACGTGGTCAGGTTATTCAGGTTTTCTCTTTGTAGTTTGAAAAGTTGTGAATATAGCAGACAATACGCACAATCGTCATAAAAAAAATGTCTGAGTGAAGACACATTTTAGGAGCAAGAACTGCATACGAATCTGCACCAACCGTAAAAGTATTTCTGCGCTTTCGTACGCGACTTGAAATTCGACTTATTCAAAAATAAGACTCCTGATGTGCTCCTGATCACATAGCTTGGTACTTTATACTATTAATCATGTTCGGTAATGTGTGAAACATGCATGCTCAGCCTGTGAATATGTCGTTAAAAGTTGAAGCATGTCTTAGATTAAAAGTTGCAACGTGCGGGTAAACCTTTTCCGAGTTTATACTTGATGGTAGATTAAGCTTAATTCCTTAGTAAAACGGAGTGTTGAAGAGACGGGGATTTAGGTTGGTAGTAGAGCATAATGGATTCCAGGAATTACAGTTTTTATTTAGATTTTCATTAGCGCGTTTGTTTTATTTTGAAATCCTGCCCAAATCCGTTTTTCAACAAGACAATTGAAGTTGTAATTCGAGGTAGGCTAGGTCCATCTACCTGGAAAATAATGATGTCCTTAGTCGTGGTTTACTTACAAGTACAAACGAAAATAAGCCGTGTGGTGACGGCAGAGCAGAATACATTTGTCACCAACCCCTACTCTTCCCGCGGGTGTCGTAAGAGGCGACTTAGGGACTACACATTAAACAGAGAATGGGCAGCAGCGCTCTCTGAAAAACATCAATCTTTTAAACTGCAATCTCCAACCCGCCTGCCTAGCGTGGAGATTATGGCAAAACCCTCCACTATAGTGGAGGAGGCTCATAGTCCAGCAGTGGACTGTAAAGGGCTGTTGATGATGACAAACGAATATTTAGTTAAATCCTTCGTACATATTATCTTTCCCGGAATTTCCACTTGATCGTAAACCTATTTGCCTCACCAAAAGATTCTTACAAAGAGCCATAGATTGCCTAAGAATTTCAATGGAAACCTTTTACCTTGGATATTGGAAAGTAAGCAAATGAAGCCAGATAATGGCTGGTGAGCTCAAATCCGCGGTGAATCATAATCGAGATACCTAATGATGGACGACGGGCTATCCATCAAAGATTATTTCGCAACTTATTTCGCACCTCCTCGCACCTTAGTCTTTAGGCTTGATTCCCTCCTACGCTGACGTCGGTCGCGTACATCGGTCGAGCGTACGAATAAACACAATGTTCTATGAAGCACCGCACTGCAACGCCGTCGTCAGTGGTAGATGATTACATAGAACTAATGTGTAATCGTGCGCGCCGCTGACGTCGGTCACCGATGTCAGCCTAAAAGGAAATCAAGCCTTACACATGGCTACTTAGTACCTAACACTTTATTTCCACGTTTACCTACGTGAATGTTATTCAAAAAGGTACGAAGTTCGGCAAAGGTACGAAATTTGTGCTCGTATTTTGTAATGACTTTCGTTACTAGATTAAACGTAACACAAGCTAAAACTTTTTTTAAAGGAAGATCAACGACTATATTTTCCAGCCTGAGAAGCAACGCCGTTAATTTTGGTTTCCATCACTAATAATTGAACCCTTCTGGGAATCGAACTCAGTACCTCAGAGTATCAACTTTCAAACCACGAGACTCCAGACGTCATAAAACCACCTAGACCTATTGCGGCAAAAACTGTCTGTATAAATACCCTCCAACTTCGCACTTTGTTCATCGCTCGAACAAAGTTCACTAAGAAGATTTCACCCTTAGAGTACAGTTAAGGCAGATGAAATTTAACATTGGGGCTCTAACAGCTTTGTAATAAGTGCTATATTGCAACAAATATGTATACCCTGATGTGCTATCGTCTGTACTCTGAGCTACACTTTGACTTTACAATTATTAATCAGTTAATGAAGGCAAACGAACTTGCCGTGTTTTGTAAACTTGTGTTGCTAGATTCGCTTTGAACTGTTTACTCGACGAATTGTTGGGATTTGACGAGGGCAACCAAGTATGTAACTTGGTATAATTGTAATAATTTATTATTGCGATATTACGTTTTGTAGCTACGACAAAGACCTTTTGAAGATGATGAGATATCGTCGGTGAAATTTATTCATCGTGAAAGTTATCAACAATAACTTTTAATAGCATATTTAATAAATTAAAAATAGTAAAGAAATAAATGAATTATGTAACTAATTAAATTGTAGTGAGCTAATTTTAACCCAAATATACTTTGCGGTTTTAAAGTAACGTGCTCAGAAGCTAACAAATTCTAAACTGAATGTTATACCAAACTTTAAGTCGGTACCTAATCCCAACTTTATTATTTACTAGCGGCNATATCCTCTGGGAAGCTGAAACTTTCAAATTTATAGTAAGCCGATAGCGACGCGCTGCAAAATCGATACGCTGACGTGATTCCGCGACCAACGAGATTATTTCGACTCGTATTTAGTGGTATTTTCGTGGTAAAATGGCTAAAGGGAAAAATCTGAAGTTGCACAACCCGATAGAGAAGCATTTCAATGTGATAACGCCGTATCATTACTACTTTTTCTTTTTAATATTCTTGAGTAAACTGCCCATTTTCTGGCATGTGCTGAACCTGATATTTTTGACGCCTCCGATGAAGTATTACTGTGAAGGTGGCTGTCCATATTGTCCATATCTTTCCTGGGATAGGAGTGTGTTCTCTGAGACGATGCAGACTAAATTCAATTTGGTGTGCGATAAAACGTGGCTCGTGAGCTTCTCGAATAGCATCTCTTACGTCGGAACGCTCATTGGGTCGTTACTCTTTGGATTTCTGTCAGACAAGTAAGCTATCACATAAACCTATAAATTATATTACTTGGGCAATATCCTACTCGTTCTTTAAGTAAAGACATAAATATTACTCGGATCTGTATTAGTAGGTGTAGGTACTTAAAGTAATAGCTTTTCTAATGAAAAGCTACCACAAAAAGTATTTCAGTACCTACAATGAAATGGGTAGAATTTATTATATCTTTGCCTCAATTATTCAAGTCTTTATGATTAAAGTAGCTCGGGAACTGTAAAGTTAATCTTTAATAAAACCTTTAGTCCTGTCCAACTTGTGTCCAGCTCAACGTCTTGTAAATTAATCAAAGCATTACCACAGAATAATAATAAGTGCATTACTAAAATGACTTTTTGATCTCTTTACTGATTATAATGGAATCAATCTTAAATTCATAATTAACTACCTACTTAGTATGACCTTAAAGTTTATGCATTATAGCCTGACCAGGAACATAAAAACCCTGGCATAGTGGCGCGTCAATTGCATTTGATAGTGCAACACTGAGTATAGTCGTACCTGTGTTAAATTATTTATTTATTTATTTAAACTTCAGCACACATAGAGACAATGCACTGTGGCGGACTTAATGCCGGATGGCATTCTCTGCCAGTCAACCACGGGTCATGCAGAAAGAGTAAGGCGGTGCAAAAAGTGTACATTTAGAATAATATACCTACTTACATAGGATTACATACAATAAATGACATAATATAAATAAATATAATAGACATACACATAAATACATAAACATAATAGTATTATAGATGTACACATCACTCATGTCGGAGATAACGAGATAATGAAGAAAAAAGGTCATTCCTTGAAATGTTTGCGCAGAGCCAAATTAATAGGCTAACTTTATGTATCAGGAATCAGGATTCAGGATTACGGGCTAATTTGATATTTTCATAAATTAAGGAAAAAATATTATTATAGGTAACCTGATTTAAATAAATTAAATGAAACCATCAATCGAGCTTGTAGAATTTATTTTATTATTCATCAATAATCAAATTCAGAACTTGAATATTCAACTGCAATGTCTGCTCATGAACGCTTCAAACTCGGTACTTCTTTCCCAATCCCATAAAATTCAACACTTAGAAAGTGACAAAAAATTTTAAAATAGGTAGTTGAAACAAACCACAGCTAATTTTCATAGTGGACTGTACTAATGATGGGCCAACTCGTAAAAAATAAAACTCGATTTCACCCGAGTTAAAATCCACATAACTCGGGTTGAACTCGAGTTACGTAACTCGAGTTAACTGGGTGGACAAGTGAATGTTTTTTATTTATTTTTACCAGTTTAATCCCTTAGCTTCGCATTAATACTTAGTTAAAAAAATTACACCTGAATTTTCCACTATCTGAATGGCTACAAATCTTTTACTATCAAATTAATTAAAGCGTTAATACCAGAAATTTAGCGTTATTTTTTTTGGCACAGTGACGGGTTTGAGTGTGCTTTAACCTATTTTNTGGACTGTACTATACGATAAACATGTCAGTCAATTTGACAACCTTTGTCGGAAACATTATTCAATGAAAATATTGTCCAAACCCTTAGTATTTCTCTTCGACAAATACTTTAACACATTGTGAACCACTTTTCTTTCACGACTATAAAAATATTTTAGCAATTTAATTCATAAAACCAATTGCGCACATTTAAAATAAACTTTGTTTACACTTTGACAGCAATAGACTGACATGCAAGGTGACATGTCAATGAAGTTTTCAGTTACTGTTGCCATTAAAAGAAATTAGTACCATTAGTTTTCCGCAACATGGCGAGGGTTTTTATGTTCCTGGTCAGGCTATAATTTTATCTAGTCTCAACTTTACCTATTAATACTTCGCCAATAACATTTATACATTTTTTTAATGAATTATAAAGGGTGATAATCGAATATATCTCTTAAAGTACTATATTAAAAAAATTAAAAAAATCTAACGTGAACAAGGAACCATTAATACAACAACTAGTAAACTTTATTAATGTTACCTTTCAGATTCGGGCGTCTAAATTCCTTCACAATCAGCTGCCTTATCTTGGCAATCTCTGGTTGCCTCGTCAGCGTCATGCCCATGGAAGGTCTCTTCATCTTCATGCGGTGCATCGAGGGCATCGGCGTCGGAGGAGCCATCGTGACTGCCTATGTCCTCTGCATCGAATTCTGCGGAGTCAGACACCGGGAGTCCGTCACTGCCTTGTTCCACATTCCGATCAACATCAGCCATATGACCTTAGCTGGGATATCGTACTTGTTGAGGCACTGTGACGACTTCCAACTGGCGTTGTCGGTGCCGGTATTCTTTTTCGTGGCGATGAAGTGGCTGGTGATGGAGTCTCCTAAATGGCTGATGGATAATGATAGAGTGGAGGAGGCGGCGATTGTGATGGAAAAGATATCCAAATTGTAAGTAAATATCTTCTGTCATTGCTTAAACTATTTAACTGCTTCAGAATCTTAATAATTTATTTCTGAAGTAGGTAGGAATAATTAACAAGCACTGATAAATAAAAATAATTATATACCATTTCTTTCACAAGAAACGACAATTAAATTAATAAAGTACCACATTTCCACTTCACAATAATTATTAAAGGTTTTCCCGACAGCTGCATTCATGTCGGTTTTATCGGAACTAATAACTTCACCAATATTTTCTTTTCGCAGTAATAGGCTTTCGAGCGAAACAATTAAAGAAGAAATCGAAGCCTATCACGCAACCCAGGGCCAGAAGCGGCGGACCAAAGTGAAGTTCTGGCAAATATTCAACCATAAAAAACTTACTTTGAACCTCGGGTGCATGTCAGTCATCTACTTCGTGTGCGGCATGGGCTATTATGGCGTGTCCCAATACATCGGGAGAATGAGTGGGGACATACATGCAAACGTGGCGATTTCAGGAGCATTATTATTACCAGGGACAATAACAGCATTTTTTCTACTCAAAATCCTCAACCGCCGAACGTTCTTGATGGGCACTACATTTCTGTCGGGACTGTTCATGATCATAGTCATTTGTATTCCATACCATATGGGCTGGTTTCGGGTGGTCATTGCTTGCATTTGCAACTGCTTCTTCTTTATGTCTTTTATTATAGTTTTCTTGTATGGCGTCGAGCTGTTTCCTACTACTATCAGAAATTCAGTTTTGGGATTTCTGTCTGTATTATCAAGAGTGGGTCAAATAGTCGCCCCGCCTATAAACTCTTTGCCAGAAACCGCGGCCGGTGGGATATTTGGTGCCATGGCAATCATTGGGTCCATTTTATGCTACCCACTTCCAGAAACGAAGGATATAGAACTACCATCTTCATTAGAAGATTCCAAATCTTTGCCACGAAAGAGAACATCAACATTAGAAGAAAATTATAATGCTGTTGAAATGAAATGATACTTCGCTAAAATATTAATGTATTGTTGTTTTACTCGTACTTACCATTATTTTTTAAGAATATTTATTCAACATTTAATTTATATTAATAAATTTATTATCGTACAAATTGATGTCTTTTCACCACTACTTTATACTTAAGCAGTCTTGAGTTTTTAAGTTTTCGATCGCTTATTCAAAAGCATCCAATATTTCTTATGAAAGTTGTAACTTTTATGACGTATAAAACCAAGAAGTTGAACTTTTGGGCAAAAGTTTTTACAGGCACTATCGCGGTACGAAAATATGAAACGCTCTAAGTTGAGCTTAGAATTGATTTTATTCAGCTGATACCAACCTTGGGCGGGATCGGTTCCGAGCGCTGGCTAAAGTAATTTACAATAAAACAAAAGCATCGGGCGACATTGTTATTTTCAATAAGCTCCTATACACCGCGGATAATGAAAAAAGTTTTTATCACCGACAATACGCGGTTTGGTTCGAACAACGTAAAAATAGAACGGTCAACTCATCGTTTGTTTTAAGTATCAAAGCTCTTTGTGTTTATTTATCTCTAAAGTAATCTTATCACTGGGAATCTGTCAGGTTAAGAATGGAGGAAGATTTTGCTATAAAGAAAATAGAGAAGCAGTCTTCATTCAGTACCTACAGCAAGGATCACTCAATCCACATGCTCATCCGATCGGTCTGTCGAGGATAGCTTATATTATTAAAAGACACGATCATACACTAAAATTGTATATTACGTTAAGTAGGTATAAATTGCCAGGTAATAAATAAATAAATTGTTATCAATATACAGGGTGTTAGGTAAATGGGTATATGAGCCGACACTAGCCCATGTTAACATGGGCATATAAATGGTATGGTGAAGTCAGAAAATTGATATCTACATTTTAATTATTTTAATTTTCATACAAATCGGATTTTATAAAATTTATTTTGTATGAAAATTTAAAAAAGATAAATGATGATAATAAATTTCTGACTTCACCATACCATTTATATGCCCATGTTAACATGGGCTAGTGTCGGCTCATATACCCATTTACCTAACACCCTGTATACTAATATTATAAAAAGGCAAAGTTTGTGTGTTTGTATATTTGTTAAATTGTTAAGGCTAGAGTGTTTTTATAAACACAGGACGAATCTTTCAAAGTATTGACAACAAGACTAGTCAAACTGTATCTCACTGTAGTAAGTTTTATCACTCAAGCTATATCTATAAAATCCAGTGGCAAGAATTAGAACTCCGTAACTGAAAAGACAGACTTATTAATCCAGGCTGTGTCCCAAGACTGAGTGTAAGTGGCAAGAGATGTCCTTAAATTTAACTTACGCGGTGTTCCTTTAGATGTAAAGTGGAGCGGCTTTATTGCTCAAAAACGTGTTCCCACAACGGCACGTCTCGCTTTGTATTGGTTGTCTTGACATTGTTTGGTATTCTCAATTATTGTTTCTGATACAAATTGAGAGTTCTTCTTTTATGAAACGTCTTCTTAATCATCTGTTTTTTGTCCATACTATAGGTTTACCGCTTACTTAGTCAGTGCCTTGGGTAAGGGAGCGGCACGGCTTTTTTTAAAATGTCAAACGTCACCGAGTATTCAGATCTTCTTCAGATTTGTATGCTTTGTCACGTCATAATATGTAAATATCAACCCTCGCGTATCGCTGCCATATCTCAGGCACTGAGTGAGTTAAGCGGTAGGGTGGCAGACCTATAAATCTATATCAATATCTATAATAAATAAATAAATATCCTTAGACATTTTACACTGCGCTTCTAGTCCCAAACTAAGCAAAGCTTGTACTATGGGTACTAGACAACGGATATAAACATGCTTAAATACTTTTTTTTTTGTTGTAAATACATACTTATTATACATAGAAAACACCCAGTCCAATACAAACAAATATGTTCATGCACACAATGTACTGTGCGGGAATCGAACCCGCTACCTCCGGAATAGTAGTCCATTTCGAACCACTACACCAAATGGCCGACATTATAAATCTATACTAATATTATAAATACGAAAGTAACTCGGTCTGTCTGTCTGTCTGTGTCTTGCTTTCACGCCTAAATCGATTTTGATGGCATAGAGATAGCTTGAGTCCCGGGAAAGGACATGGGATAGTTTTTATCCCGGTATTTGAAACAAGGACGCGAGCGATATAGTTTTTCTGTGACAGACAAAAATCCACGCGGGCGAAGCCGCGGGCGGAAAGCTAGTTTGTATATAAATTCAGTTTAACGTCACGTCATGCAGTGTACCTATTATAAATTGGGTCGGTACTAAAATTAACTCTTGAAATAAGCATGTACTAATTTAGTAAATGATCGGACTTATACCAGGCCTGTTCATCTCCGCGAGTTTACATTGAAAACAAAACACGCACGATGGCCCACCTACAGGATACTATTCGACAAGGCCTCACATACGAGCGAACATTGACTCACGCACGCGTATTCTTGTGTATGATGGAAGAAAATAAAGAAAATGGTGTACTAAATACTGTGCAGTATTTAACTGCCTAAATAATAATAAAAACACAGAATGTACTTTTTTAAGTTGCCTCAAGACACTAGGAGGTAAATAAGTAGTTAATATTATTCATGATAATTCATGCTAAATCATGTATTTCCTCCGCCATTTTCCGCAGTTTGGCACCTCACGTCACATCATTTTACCGAAATCAGCCCTATATAGTTCCAAAATACTGAACTGTCCTATCCATGACATTGACAGCGGGGCGCCACCGTCATTACCGGATCGCTGGTTCCGATTTTTGCCATGTTGGAAACCATACATATAGTTGAACGATGGTAGCGCCCCCCTGTCATTGAGTTTGGTGGGACAGTACAGCGTGGGTCATCTATAGCTTCGGCGCAGTGCCGATCACTGACGTTTGTCAACAAAATGGTGCTTGACTCTTGAGACAGGCTTTACACCATATTGTTAATGACATTGAGCATACATTTGTTTAAATACCTTCGCGAAGTAAAACTTCTGTACGTAGTACTTATTATTATTCTGTGCTTATACATTAATTTACGCGCTATTCGAGCTATAATCTCCGCCTTGATATCTCCGCTTAAGATTTAGAGCGCCGCTAAATCTGTCCCTCCCATTAACCTCTACATTAACCTGTAAATCAATTTCTTCCATAAAGTGACCCTTAAAATCCGCCATAAGGCCGTAATCCTGCCCATAGGCCAGTTTCGCGGTGGTAATAGATAACCGCTATATTGTAAAGCTAAGTTATTAGTGAACAGTATAAAATAGAGTGAAAGCTTTTTCAAATATATTTTCATGACTTATTGCTTTTTGATTTATGTTATTTTTCCACAATTTTCACTAGTACATAATATAATTAAATACAGAATTAGGCCCGATTCGACAAAACTTATAAGTAATAACTGCTGGTATAATAACTGGCACATAAACAGTTATAGTATGGGAAATATGTCAAAACTGACGATTTATTCTGAGATTAATATTTACTCTTGTTAGGTCGAATCCACCCTTACCAGGTTATACCAGAAAAATATTAGGCATGAGTTAGGCGTACTGAAAGGTTAGTCACTAACTAAAAATCTTAAATTAAACTAAGCAAATAAGTTTCATACATTTAATATCAAATACACAAATCTTATGAATACATACATGCTAGCTTGTATAGTGAGATCACTAAAATTATTCTAATAAATGTAATGTTATATTTAATTGCTTTAACCATAGTATAAGCTTTTAGAGACAACCCTTACATCACCATGTTTTAGGTAAATAATACGTTTATTAAATAGGAATAAATGTATTCTTCTTACTAACCCTTTACTTGTAGTTTGCCTCCTGTCACAAAAAAAAACCTTTTACAACAATCTTCTACCTCAGAATACGGAACAAACCAGAAACCGTCAACGGGCGTAAATGTGTATTCATTCATATAAATTACTCCGAATCGCACTAATTTGACTTTAGAGCAATTAGTCAATGGCCGGCGCGCGCATTGTTTACATATCCGTCAGATGCTTAATTCAATACAACATACATCTGTTTCCGCAATTTATTACACCGATCTTGTCGCGACAAGGAAAAATTTCCGTGCTTTTAAGCGATTTTGTGAAAAATATTATTGGTAGTTGCTAATTGCTCATAAGATAGGCCCCCTTAATTTAATTTATTGTCCGTGGTGCATAATCTTTTTNGTTTTGTTGTCGATATGTTTACATAATAAAGAACCTTAAGTTTCTTTTTTGTTTTACTTGGCATTCTAAAATTTATATTCGACTTTTGTAATTGACTTTTAAATAACATATTATACCTACATATAGTATATTACACTATTTAATAGAAATAAATAATCATCTACACTTAGTTACTTCGGAGTAAAAATTAAATTCATAGGTTGGTAGGTACTATCTATGCCTATGGCCAGTCATGTCGTCTCGTTCTATCGCAAAGAATCACCATTTGATGAGAGCGAGAGCAAAAACGGAAATAGATAGTTAACACTGTGGCCGTGTGTACTTATTTCACTTACTTATTTTTTACTTGTTTAACATCTCTTTCAAAAATTACATAATTTTACCCCAAAAATGGGGGTGTCACACATCGCTATAACACTAAAGGGGGTAGAGGGGCGCGGGAGGGGAAGTATTTTGGACACAAGTTGCCGCGTAGAAATTTTATCGAACACCCCTTCTGGTTTGTTCTGTATTCTGAGTCTTATCTTACGATTTATTTAAGCTTTTCCTTTATTTCCCAATTGATTATGACTATTATAGTTAAGTGGTTTTATCTTTAAATGTAATCATTCCCAAGTGCCTAATCTAGAGCTGTTTGAATTTGAATCTTGTTCACTTGCAGATTACCTTCATAATAAAATTTTCTGTGGCAATGCACCTAATCAAGAGCTCTTTAAATTTGAGTCGTATTCCCTTAAATTACCTTCGTAATTACAACGCAGGGTTGTCTCTACAAGCTACGGCA